TCCTCCGCACCAGGAGTCAGGCTGGAATCCACAAACCACAGTTTCGTTCTGGTGGGTGGGGAGGGGAGGGGGGAGGCGGGTGGGACCGGAGGTTAAACTCGGGCCCCGGACGGCGTGGTCAGACGCGGGCGGACCCCGGTCCGTGACCGGAGCCGCGGATGGCCTTCACCGACCATCAGCGGCTCCCCGGGTTATTGGCAATTCGCCTGATAGGAGCGGCGGGCTGCGGCGAAAGACGGCTTTTCGCCATTCTGTCGGCGCCACTTAGACCGGCAATCAGCGAAGCGAAGTAATTGGAAACCCTCGGCTATTTGAAACAGAAACCTCCCTTGGTATCACTACTTCTGAGTGTAAAAACATCACCAAAAGTAGCAACGTTAACGACCTTCGTTCATCGCGCCCGAAGCAGCAGCATTTTGTTTCGTAGAGATCTTGAAGTTTAGATACCGTCTTTCAAGCAACGTTTCTTGATGGATTCCGTTGCCTAGGACAAAACTGACCTTCTCCGTCCCCTATCACCTCTCATTCACTCACGAAGTGGGCCGTTCATTCCTCTCCCTGGCAAATTTCGAATGCATCAAGATAAACCTATTGCCCGGTAACAACCAGCATAAACCGCAATTAATCAAGTCTTCGCGGACGCAAACCGGTGAGAGTCAATGTGCTGACCACATGGTGCTCCGCCGACTCTGTCCTTCTCTCTGCCGCCGGTCTTACCAGGCAGAACGGCACGAGAGGCCAACAACTGCTCGTGACTCCCAACATGGCCCGGCTCGATCCACTCTCCTCCGCCACCGCGCCAGGCTCAGACATGACATGCCCCGGGTCACGTGCCACGCCCCAGCTGACCCTCACAGATGTATGCACACCTCGAGACCCGTCTGGAGGCTGGTGTCGGGTGTGTCTTCGGTGGTTACGCGACATTGTGGCGCACACGTGGTGGAGTGACTCCGCTACAGGTGAGAGTTGGAAGGCACCGAGCTTCTTAGAATGTGTATTTTCATGTTGCTTCTCTCCCTTCGGAAGAGATATGATACCTGAAGTCGAATGACGTCCCTAACGCGGTTGGTTGCACCGATCCGTACGGCTGAAGGCAAGCAATGGCTGCTACTAGAGCACTTCACGGGTTGGATCAATCCACGGACTGTGGATCAAACTGCAGGCTAGATTGAGCCGGATCAGAAATTTCCACCAAAACATGGATAAGGACCGGAACACATTTTCAAATTTGTCGGCTCACATAGACTGGGACTGAAAAACAATCAGATGGAAATTGTCACCTAATAGTCTACAAAATGCTGAATGAAAACAACGACTCAGAAAAAGGACCTTTAAACCAACAAAAATACAGGATTGTCGGTTTCAAGTGATGCATTTGCGGGCTACATAGTACATCACTCAGCCATATATTCCACAACAGATTTTCTGATGAACAGATCGCATTGACAAATTGTGAATGAGTGATCCTTATGTAGGTATGGTCACTTATTCATAGAAATATGTGCACAACTCTAGTTATGGAAAGTTAGTGCGATCATCCCCTCCAATGTTACTAAAAAGTATAATGATCTAATAGCATATCGCATAGCACAGCTACGATTCATTCTGCTTTATCAGCAGTGTCATTTAACCCCGGTGGATAACATTGCATCTTAGAGTTGTAAAAAACTGGACAGGAGCATGTTTTGTTGGTAGAAAGCGCGTTTATATAAGTTGTTCAGTGCATTAGCGAGGAACATTATTCACATGGATAAGACAGTAGTATTAGCATTATTCCTAAAAAAAAGCAGGAGAATGGAGGCATAGTTAGGTTAACCTTTCGGCAACACTGCCTTTATCAAAACAACACCAGAAGTCTTCTATTGTTTCGATAAATACATCTTGCCGAATATCAACCTAACTATATCTCCATTCTCCTGTTTTCCGAGGAATAAGGCTAATACTACTGTCTTATCTAAGTAAAAAGCATGCCATTAAGCTTTTAAATACAAGCGCCTGTCAGAGGAAATTTCAACAATGGGAAAAGGAAATTAAGTAGCATTTGAGATTTCGGCGATGGGGTTCAAAAACGGTGCAATTGTTTCATTCTCCTGAATGAAAGTATCTCAGGCACCCCCCAGTGGAGAGTCGCGTGCGTTGATTTAACTTGAACGCGCCCGGTAATCTACCAGGAAATTATAGCAGCAGTTTACGGTTGTTTCATCAGCTGGTGTGTTCGAGGCCGGACACACACAAAAATTCTCGTACGTGAGGTGAGGCGGCCTTTTAGTTTTTTTCAGAGGGTGCACTGGATGAGGGCCGCACTATGCTTGTGAACTGTGTGCCGTTGAAACTGTCCAGTGGCAAGTGCAGGTATGTTGCACCTGGCCTTGAGTCTGAAAAGGCTAGAAAATATGCGCATACATTTAGGTTATTGAAACCAGAAGCGATTTTAGCTCCTGCGATATGGCGGTGCGTGTGAATTATGGGCAAGTAACTTTTATATGAAAAGTAATGTGACCAGCTTTTTCTATTTGGATCTTTATCCAAAATTGCGCCACCAATAAACGCCGTGCTGTTTTAATTATCTTAACATCGACTGGTTCACGACGGCTCATCGCACTCTATTTTTCAATGTATGAACAAAATCTGCTGTTAAAACTTTTAAAAGCATGTAACGTGGAGGCGGATTGACGGATTCATTTGACCATTTTTTCTCCCTGTAAGTCGGACCAGACCAGATTGCGCTGAGCGGTATGGGAAAAGTGGATTGGCGGCGGATTGGATCTGGACTAGCCAGACTGGACTGGACCGGATCCTGAACATTACATTCGTGAATTGCTCTACGCTCCTGTAGTCGTTATGCATACTTTTAGTTTTCACCAGTGCACGAGATACGTGACAACTATGATAGATGGTGACTCAACATAAAAATAAGGCTGTATTCGTCCGCAAGCTGCCCATCGGCCTTTATTTTCTCATTCGCGCCTAGTCCTGCATCGTCGCAGTGCCCCGCTTATCCGGGTCAGACTGCATATATCTGCCACGGGCGGATTGAAATGACCTCTGTCGGGCGGCCACGAGCGAACTGAAGTGACCCCTGCCGGACAGCCACGGGCGGACTGAACAGGTGACACCATACCGAGAACGCCGCCCGACCGCCCTCACAAGACCCGAAGACGGATTGCTGTGCGACCAGTATTGGAAGCGCAGGACTCCCAGATACACGTTGTCTGGTCCCACCATTTCCAATCTGTTTCATCCGATATCTCTGAAATGGTCACTGCTGGCCGAAAGAGCTCTCACCACTAAACAGAGCTGCATATTTCTGGCACTGAGCACACTCCCAGCCGAACAAGACGAGGCGGGCCCCGGCGGATCATACGGCATGCTATCTTCAGCCACATCCGTCAAAAGTGCAGGTGAATCGGCCTCGCAGCAAGCTGTATGTACATCGTAAGGCCGTTACCAACACTGGGTGGCCTTCAACGCCACTCAGCAATGCATGATGCTGAGCGCCTCAAGCGAACACACGTACACACACACGTACACACACACACATACACGCAGTGGTGGCGCAGTTAACTAGGACATCCTCAAACCCATGCCACATCATATCTACAACACGGACGGCCAGTTAGATGGATCGCTGGTCTACGTCTGAGGCGCGCGGAGCGTTCTTCAGGCGTGCCGACGCCGCCGGCGACAGCTGACGCGCCGCTCAAGGCGGGGCTGGTACGACCCGAGCACGCATGCGGCCTCGGTACGACCCGAGCGCCGATCCGAGGGCGCATGCGGCCTCGGTACGACGCGAGAGCGCATGCGGCCTCGGTACGACCCGAGCGCGCATGCGGCCTCGGTGCGACGCGAGAGCGCGTGCGGCCTCGGTACGACCCGAGAGCGCGTGCGGCCTCGGTACGACCCGAGAGCGCGTGCGGCCTCGGTAAGACGCGAGGGCGCATGCGGTCTCGGCGGACGGCGGCGCGTCCTCTCAAAACCCCACAAAAAAACACATTCACATCGTGAAAAAGGGCGACAGCGCGGCGCCTCTTCCTATCCACAGTGGCGCGTGGTCATATACAGGGGCTCGGCGGCGACGTCGCCAGGCACCATCCAGGGACAGACTTCGCATGCAGAAGAGTCTATACTGGCTGGGGAACGGGGCGTCCTGATGAGGACGCGGCAGTCGCGCCAAGCCTATGAAGAGACTACGTAAGCTGTGGGATGTTGCCACAGGGTGGACACCCAGTCGATACATCGACGTGGAGAAAGCGCTGCAGGTCGGGATATTGTGAGTGTTCCGTGTTCTAGAAATGGGGAGACAGAGTCCGAACTCAAGACGCCGTGAAATACGCAAGAGATGATACTAACCCGATGTTGATGCTGCCATCCTCTTGAACGCTATGGTAAAATGTAAGTGTGATGTTAGTGTGGGGCCAGTACAGGCGCATGTAATGTTTCACTGTAGATACAAAATCAATGTACAAACTGAGTTATAAAAAGCATGCACTGTTTGAAAGAAGAACGATGTTTATGGTGAACTATGTGAACCAAGCCGTCATGACCAGCAACTAAAAACAGGTGAAACGGGCACATCACTAAGAACTAAATCCAGGCAGGGATGCACATTTTAACCAACGCAGGAAAACTATGTTTTATATTGTACGGCAGATGTAGCAAAACCTTGCGACGAGGTCACTCCCAGCACCACTTTATTTGGGGGAGGACGCAACTTCCTTCGTGATTTTTTTTTTTAATCGCGCCGTGTAAGTAAACACATATGCGTACAGGTTTCTTTGTCTTCTTTAACCAAAAGATCATTTGTGTGGGCCTTTCACTGCAAGAGCACTGCTCCGTTATCGTCTGCCATGGCGCGACAGGGCTTGTGGCCACTTAATTTAGCTGTCATAGTACTTACATGTCAGCCTTTGCTGTCCGAAAACACAAATCGTTTGCCAGCCAGGAGCTTCTGTCAGAGTGTCACGTTTCACGCAGCGCAAAACACCGAGCCTTATTATGTGTAACAACCTTTCTTATCCGTATCTATGGAATAATATCCAAACACTTATGAAAAATATGAAAAGCAAGCTTTTCGCACGATGCAGAAAACATCACCCTAAATATCCCAGTGGTAAACGATTCAGTTCCTTAAAAGCAAGGGTATATGAACTTGTCATGCAAAAAACATGATAACCAGCTCACTTTTCCCTTTTGATTTTAGCATGGGAATGTGAAGATCGCGAAATTCATTGGTGAACGCATAATGATCTTAAACCATTTATTTTAATAAATATGTTGCGGGTGGTTTGTCAAGTGCGACATAAAGGCAGCATGGGCTAGTAAGCCATTCCTGATGGTCCGTCGCTTCACTCCATGCACTTCGCGAGCTTTCTGCACACCTTTTTTCTTGCAGCAGGTATAATAACGTTTTTTAATGTTATCACTCCAAGTAACTGAAGATGCGTACAGTTTTCAGGAATCTATTCCGACGTAGTTGTGTTCTCACCACGCCAACCGACGCCCACAAAGGTCCGTTAGGTGCAGGGCAAGACGACCGAGTTCTACCCCCCCCCCCCCTACCCCTCCCCGCCCGCCGCCGATGACGTCGCATGGGATCACGGTCCGAGCCCACCGCCGGCGTCGGGCGAAGCACGCACGTGCTGGCCGGTGGCGGCGGCGGTGCTCGAATCGAGTCAGCGGCCCGGCTTGACCACGTGCTGACCGGCCGTGGCCGGGTCCGACTCCGCCGGCGCGGGCCGAGCCTGCGTCACCTGACCGCGTGCTGACCGGCCGTGGCCGGGTCTGACCCCGCCGGGCGCGGGCCGAGCCTGCGTCACCTGACCGCGTGCTGACCGGCCGTGGCCGGGTCTGACCCCGCCGGGCACCGGCGAGCCTGCGTCACCTGACCGCGTGCTGACCGGCCGTGGCCGGGTCCGACCCCGCCGGGCGCGGGCCAAGCCTGCGTCAGCTGACCGCGTGCTGACCGGCCGGCAGCGGCGCCGACGGCCCGGCGCTCGATACCGGCCGGCCCGGAGCCGAGGCGGAACACGGCCACGGCCGGCCACGCCGTACGCCGTGGCGTGCCGCGGCCGTGTGAGGCCGCCGCTGAGGGCAGCGCTCGACACGCCGTTTGTGACGTGTCATAGGCGGGGATCTGTGGCCTGTCAGTCAGCTGGTGTCTAAATGGTGCGCAGTCTCGTCGCAAGGCATGCGAGTGTTTCAAGCTGGGAACGAGACGCACGGCCTGGGCGCAAACGCACGGCTCGCAATTTGACGCCCGCGAGGCAGCGCCGAAACTGAAGATTTATTTCAGCACGAGGACCTGGATGATATGGCCATACAGGGATGGTCTTTATGCTGGCGGCGCTGTGTTAGATTGCCCCCAAAGAGCCCCCTGTCTTTTATGGTGCACCCTACATTATGCAGGCGCCATAGTAAAACAAGACAAGCTGTTTAGGATGTAGGCCAATCCACGGCAAATCATCCGCAGGGTGACACGACACCCCTCTTCCAATTTGACGAATACACAGCTATGGATAAATTACGCATCCAAATTACGATTCTGCAAGTTTTAGAGCCATCTGCTCCTAGTTACCACTAAGGAACTGGGAGCAGATGAGCACACGTGATGACGCCAAAAAGCTCTTTTTTATCTCGCCCTAGCGAAAACAGTTTGTGCAGTATAATGTTTTGGGGAAAATGCATCAGAAGGCTACATTTTTTCTGAAGCATGGTTGGATATCACTTTTAAGTCAACTAGGTACATAAAGTGGCCTAGTTTTACCTTTGACCTCATTTCTGTAAAACATGGGGACTCCAATCTTATGTCTAGTGATATCCAATTTAAAACCAATTTATGGCCGTTAAGGCTAAAAAACGATGCGATTCGTTCTGGATGAGTCGGAAATTGTATGTGAAGATTGGCGGATCCCACACCATAAGCCGACCGGAGAGTATCCGGTGACCGGGCGATCTTGAAGCCATTCATTTTAATCTTAAACCCAGTTTCTTTGACAGTCTTCAGGAGCACTGTAACAATGCCTGAACAAAAAGGGCGTGCCTGTCAATCGACCTTACGTACCTGTCGTCCCTTACGAGTCGCGCAATGACAGCGTCGTTCAGGGTCATCACAGCACATCTTTTTTTCCTCTTTTTTAATTTGGTCCGAATCCTTTGAATGGATGGATTTCTGGGATCAGCGCTCACGCTGAGCAGTGCTTGTTGTGTGAGCCCTGACCCCCACCACCCGATAGCGCAGTTCCAGGCAGCGGCAGAATTTAGTGGCGAAAGCTTAACGTGCCGCAATGCTCGGCACGGTCCGTCCTGTCCTCTGACGTCAACTGACCTTTAGCGCGACCGCTGCCACCGGCCGCAGGCCATACCTGCCAAGGGCAAATAGCGAGCGCCCTAAAGCGACTCGAACCCATCCCGCCACGGATGGGCGAGTCGGAATGCAGGCGCTCTAACCAACTGAACCACCGGGACGGACATAATAACCAGCACATCAATAACCATCATATAGCGTTGAACTAAACTTCATCATAAGATAAACGAATGACTGGTCTAAAGATGCATTATTTGTTCCTAGCCTAGCTTGGAGCCGCGGCAGAGATCCGTGACAGAACTGTCTGCGTGCCGCTGTAACTGATGAACCGATGGACTAATAATATATGGCTGCACACCATGCCTTTGAAAATGGGTTGGTTCTCTAACTACATGACTCGAGATGAATATCAGATAAGCACGGTCGATGAAAAGGCACTCTACATTTTTTTAATTGTTTCATAGTGCCCCGGTTTGATTTCGAGGTCAAGGTCACAGTTCCGGACGCAGGGAGCCGATCGCGCCTGGTCACCCGACACTGGCCGGTCGGGTGTAGCGCCGTGCATGATCCGCCAATGCTCAAATTCGATTTCCGGCAGGTCTAGAAGAGATCCCATCGATTTATCTTGTTTGGCCCGAACGGAAATAAAATGGTCCTCAATTGCATATCAGTTTGCAGAAAATGGAGGATGCCACGTTTTCCAAAGGGTACCATGTGACGACACCATGTTTTCACCTCTGGTACAGGTGACCTCGTCCTAAAATACAGTTAGAAAACGTGCCGCACATCTTTGCCCTTATTCCAGGTTATTGCCGTTCGGGCATACACCACATACTTTGCAAACTTCAAGAATCTAGTGAGGGCTTTCTGTGGTTTCCATGAGATGCATATGGACGAGTCTGTGCTGTACTGCAGGCAGCGGACGCTATTGTCGAAGTCAAATTACTCGCCCAAACCAGCTTGCCGTAATTGTTTCTGGAATGTTATTCCAACAAATTCTGGGATGGCAGCTTTTAAGTTAACAAAACAAACGGAAGCAAAATCATGATTTTACGGGCGGTATGCTGACCAATACGCAGCCATACCATACAGTCCTGAAGCATGTGGGGTTTACCGTGGGACTGCATTTTGCATATGATGACCTTTATGGTTCTTACCCGACCTAAACATAACATGAATGCGATGATTTAAGCAGCAGCTTGAAGAAATTACTTAAACGACACGGACGTTAAGCTGCTAAATTATTTCCCCGCAGCCGCATAAGCAAACGACTGAAAACCACCCGCTTTTAATCAAGCACAACAATCAGAAGCTGATGGCCATTCAACGACAACCCGTTATGAGGGCAGGCGCTCGCTGCGCGGCAACATAGCAATCAATGTCCATGTTCTGGGAGGCAGATCGCCAGGAGGGTACACGTAAGAAAACGGACGCGCCTGTACGGGGCTAACCGTGGGACACGTCAGAAACACGAAAAGCCAGTCAGAGAGAACATCACGGTCGCTGTGTGGGCGGCACCGGCCGCCGACTGCCCACCTGTTGCCGTGCACGTGGCTGGCGCAGAAGGAGAAGCTGCAGTGATGAGCATGGGGGTCGATCATGCTACCCTTCTCGCTGTGCGCTAGCAGGTCGCGGCAGGTAGGGCCAGGTGGCGGAAGCAGGTGCGCACGCCGTAGCGGGCGCAGTACTCATCCATGACGAACACCTGGCCGGGGCTGAGCCAGCCCTGCCGACGCCACACATGTGCTCAGTCGGCGCCGCTCGCTGAGGCGGCGGCCGCTCGCCCGCCGTCTCTCCGACTGAGGGCACTCAGCGGGATCAGCGATGCAGCGATGAACCCCACTTACTCGCGCAACAGAGCTGACGCGGGGCAGCCAGTGGTAATCCAAACCGAATTATTAATACAACACATCAAACTGACATATTTAGAAAAAATTCATGCTGGTACAGCTGTTTGTTTCTGCATGCAGTAGTTCGCGAATTCCTTGCTTTTTTGTCTTGATGTCAGCCATCCCGTGTCTTGACTGCATACCGGTCATGATCAGTAGTGCCATGCGAGGCCGCGTCAGGTCACCCAAAGAAGCTGTGAGGTCAGCGTCAAGCATGGTACCGAAATCCGTTTACGGACGCCCACTTGTGATACACAGGTCGGTGCAACAGACACGTTTCCAAGCCTGCGTATTTCTAGGTCACGCAACCTGGGACGGTAGGTACATCACATCCAATGAAATGGTTTGACTTCGGCCGAGTTCAGTCTTGTCAGCCAGCAATCAAACCTTGACCTTGTGACAAGGTTCTAAATCGCTAAATCCGGGCCCTTTTTCTTCGGTGCTGGTTATTCAGCTAGGCAGTCATTTCGGCAGGAACTAGAGGGCCCTGAGTTTCCTGCTACCCGGCGATTTTCTCCAGGGCAAAAAATGCGTGCTTGTGCCCCGTTTTGGGAGCACAGTCAATAAGACGCTTTGAACGGCCTGCTACATTATCAGTCGTGCGGCAGACGTTGACTGACGATGCCTCGGTGAGACTGATCAGGCCTGTGACTTACCCTTTGAAGCGTTCCGATCCGGAAATTGATCCCAAGATTAAAGGAAGAGCGATTCCTTTGATTCATAGGCGGTCGCGGTTTGGTGACAGACTAAGACGATGGCGTGTTAAGAAACTGTCACCAGTGAATGTCATGTAGCTATTCGCTTTTGGGGAATTTTGAACATTAAATCGAGCTTTACAAATACTATGTTGCTTTCCAGGAGTAAGAACAAAATTTGAACCAACCTGCACTAAAATGCAGCTGTATTTGAGACGTTATCATTATGGGTTGGTTTTCATACAACTACAAAGTGAACGGCAAAATACAATAACACATGAATTTGGGAAAGTGATAAATTTTCACTTCAACGCATGTAATTAAACAGGGTACCAGCAGAGTTATCAACTGCACGTTTCGGTATGATGTTGCATTTATGAGGCTCTGCAGATGATTGCATAACCGCAAATTTGGATACTTCGCCTTTCTTGAATTTCAGCTTAGGGATTCATGTCGTTAGCAAGGATGTGCGACACAGGCTGGAGGGGTGCTGCCTTTGCTAGGACCGGTGCATCTCGCCACGCGCACTGCTCCCTATGGGACACCAGATACCGTCAGCTAGACACGCAACCCAATCTGGCCGGGTATTAAATTCATCGCGTAATGCATGATTTCATCAGCGTTACGCGTGGCCAGGCAGCCGCCGCATGACCTCCAGCATTGTTTTAAAGAACATCACCAGCCCTGAGCCGTCCACATGACATCGCATACGCGAAAGAAATGCGTGGATGGTTAGTGCATGGGGTGTAACCCTGCTGACAAGCCCCGTACAACGTGTACAAAAACTAAGAGCATATGGTAACGCAAGGGCACATGGTGGTGTCGTTTCTATCCAATTTGTTGAGGAGGTAACCTACGTATTCGTATTTCGATACCGCATGGTAAATGCCGCAAGGGCTAGAGTCCTTTCAGAGTTACACGTCGAGGCAACAATAACGTGATCAGGTTCGGTTTGGACATACTTGATAAATGTGCAGTATTAATTTGAAAGTCGTAACTGTATGAATCTGTGTGAATAAAAAACCCCATGAATAATACAAATTAATCAATTTGCCAACCTCTAAATGCTATCAAGTGATGATCATCGACTGTCCTTTACACACGCACATCCAGGGACAGCTTGTTCTCGCACCGCACCCCATCACCAAGCGCGAATGGTACTGACGGTGGACGGCCGCCACGTCGTGATACATCGGTGGTTGCCTGTGTCACCACACGTATTCGGCTGGCACCTTTGTCGCCGCTACATACGGACAACACATCGCTGCTAAGCGACACCACTGACGAATGAGCTACTTCCCTTTGTCATTGGCAAGCCTACATTCACCAACCCATGTGTGTCCTTCGTTGAACAAGGTCATGGAGTTTTCCACAGCGAGCCGACGCATAGCTGCTTGCGAACATTTCCAATCGAACGGAAAATGACCAATGTCTGTATTCTACCTGCTTACACAGGAGTCATTGTACTGAGCACTACTTTCCCTAGGCTGATTAAGGCCGAGAAAGCACACCGAAAAAAGATGTCGAGGTACATTCTACCGCCGCACAGTCGCGGTCACAGCACGCAACAAACGTCGCGCTTGGTTCTGCATTCCAGGCTTGGCGCTATTTGCCGACCATCAGCAAACAAAAGAACATCCACCACGCTAGATTATTCCGACAAACCAGGTGTCCACGATGCGAGGGGCTCGCCATACTTTGCCTTCGTCGCCCGCACGGCAAACAATTGCGATATAACGTGCAGCCAAACACTGCAACGCATTGTCCGCGCTCTTCGAAAGCAACGGCTTTCAAAACAGCAGCCGACGTACCGAATAAGTCTAGGAGCTTTTAGTGATGATTATATGGCTGGTTGCGGCTGTTGCGAAATAATACGGCTGGGCGTGTAAGCAGAGCGCGTGTTAACAAGGATATGAGGACTCTTTCCTACTTGGTGGTGCAACTGCTAAGCATCCCGCATCGCGCCGCTGACTTCCATGGCCTGTGCCACACGCGGCTGACGACACCCATGGACCGCGTTACACGGAACTGATGAGCCTCAGGTGGGGGTGGCATGACTCAAACGGCGAGGGCAGCCTGGTCGCGGACATTCCGGTGCCACAAGGGTGAGGCTCACGCTCAGGGAAGTGGCTGTCCATGGGGTCAGAGCTTCTGATATCCAGATTCCGGACTCAGAAGCGCAAACCGCCATAGCGACTGATCAGGATGTGCAACTGACAGCCAGCCCCCCCATCACAAATCCTTGTGTATTCAAGACGTTGACCGCATTGCAACAAAATAATCTACTCACGTGATGTTGTCTCTCCACATTCGTGCCCACCCGACTGACACTCTAGCATTCCGACCAAATGCCTCTCAATTAATGCATGCTTGGAACCTTAACAGGCATTCCACTAAGTCAGCCATGCTACACTCCCGTCCCCTGTACCATCGCGCGTACCCTCCCTGACTTAAAACGCCAGTCTGGTGGACCATCACCCGCACCAGCCCCGGTCCTGGTCACCCCGCCCCACCCAGGGTCAGCCCCCGCACAGGGCCACATCCGTCCCGCCCAGCGTCATCCCCGACCCCCGTCCCGGATCAGCCGCCGACCCCGCCCTGGTCTCACCAACGGGCGATTCGGCTCATTGAGGCGGTGCTCCAAAAGTTCAGGGGCCTGCAGGAAACTGGAACAGTGAAGCGTGGTCGAACTTGCACGGGTCGGCCGATATGAACTCGTCCATGCCGTGCCTTTCGGGCACGGTCGGCGTCTGCGGGGGAGACGGTCGGTCGGCGCGAGGCAAGCGACCAGAGAGAGAGACAAACCAACAGTGAAGAGAACAAGGGTCGGTGGGAAACAGCCGGCCGGTACAAAGACGACAGGAAGTGGGGAGACAACCCGCCATCGGGGAGACATGAAACGGTCAATGGAAAGACAAACTGTGAATGAATGAGAATCAGCTGCGTGGCGACAATGGGCGCCAATGAAGCTTTTGTTGGTGCACTCGGCGAGCTATTGAAACGTAACAGCCTTGACTGGAAAGACAAACGGTAAGCAACACCAAATGTTGACTGCCGAAAAGCGGGTGGTAGGCGGCTGTGCAATCTATGAAACGTAATCGTTTACTCTCAATCGCCTGCTTTTTGTGATTGCGTTCAGGTGAGACGCTCGCATATCCTTCCCACATTGGCTTGGATGCATCATGCTGGACCTGGCACTCGATTACCATCTTATTCAAGTGGCAAACTATACTCTTACTACTCTGTGCAGGGGCGTGGGCGTGGCCATATTCTGCTCCCTTCATGCTTTTTGGCCACCATTTTCAAACGATTCGCTGCAGGCTCCTGAAGCTCGGTTACTTTTACCCAAAAAATTGTTTCGCATGTCTCGGCAAAATTTTGAAGGCAAACATTGCCCAAGGGTGACTCCAGAGCTTTACGCCGAAAGTGATGTCCGCTGAAATTTTCCCTTTCCCCGTCCATTTCCATGTCAGCATAGCTGTGGTTATCATTTGTCTGCTCATAGATTATCCCTGGTGGAAATATAACAGAAATGTGAACAAAACGGGTAGTATGATGCTTCAGCCGTACAATTTTGACGCAGGTGGTTTCAGGACAGCAAAAACAGAGGTTTGCCCACGATATGAGGCGATACTGAGGGAGGTAAAGCAAGCAGCGTGGAGGGAGGAAGAACATTACTGAAGTTACAATTACAATTTGCATATTAAAATTACATTCCTGAAGGACATTTTTGGCTGGGTGGCAGAGCACAAAAAGGTATGAAAACTACGAATGCCAAGATGAGAGTGTAGGAAGGTAATTTTCGAGACATGAGAACGGGGCGAGATCTGTCCCTCCCCTAACGTTACCCAACCACTCGACATTGCAAATGCAGTAACACTAAAACATACACCCATCTGTTCCCATCCTATCATCTTGGCACCCGGAGCTCTCACACCTGTATCTCTTGCCACTCATTTCCAGAAAAACTATATTGGTAGCATTCACGTATCGATGGGCGCAAGAATACTTCGCACGTTTCAGGGACATATGAGCTTGCACATAAACCAGAAATGTCTCCGGACACAGAAATGCACAAACAGCCACAAGACAGGTGATCGATGCCGAGGGAGGGTAAATGAAAGCGGCCGGTGTATGAGTCAGCAGCGTACAATTGTGTGACACAATTACTAGTTTGGCTCCTTGATTTGACCATAGGCATGAGGTTGTTTTTTCGGTATTCACTAAGGCTAAATTTCACTGCACGTGCGCGAAATTGCTGCAGTAGTCTGGTTTTTTGATCGCTATATTTCAAATCACGCCTTAGGTTATTTCCCCTAAATCCCCATCGCTAATTTCAGTACACTTAAAATCCACGCAATAGCTGACAGCGGTTCCAGACATGTTCAGAAAAGGTAGTCTGCTTTCTATATTATGGCCAGGAGGCGACGGCCGAGGAAAGCAGTCCGTCGAGCATCCGCATGGGTCGGGGTGCCACCAAGCCTTTCGAGGAGCTACGTAAGAGCCATGCTTAGCGGAGAGCGGCGTCCCCGATGGGTCGTCGGGATATCGTTAGAGGGGTCGTTAAAGGTCAGCGCGTCCAAACTGTCGGAAAAGGCATCCTTAGTGGGGTCATGGCATACCGCTCGCGGGGTCACCAAAGGTCGTCGCGTTCCATGTGGCGGCCGGGGGAGAGCCGGCGGTGTAATTGCGCGGCAGCTGTCCGGTCCGCTGCGCTGGGCAGCGGCAGCCGGCCAGCCGGCCGAGTAGCGTGCCCATCCCACCCAGCGCTTACCGCCCTGCAGCTTGGAGAGGGTAGTGTTCTTGCCCTGGGACATGACTGGCGGCGTGGGCTTGTGGCTCTGGCCGGTGGCGCGGTACATGGCCATGACCCACAGGTGGCACTCGTTTTCGTCCTCGCAGGCGTACAGGATGCCGTCGCCTTCGCGCACCGCGTTGAAGAAGAAGCGGCCGCCCTCCAGGTCTGCCGACCGGTCGCGATCAAGGTCAAGTCCGGTCGGGCAACGACGCCCTTCCGACGGACAGGCGCACACCGGGAAGGGGGCGACCAGACCGCTGTCGCCTGCTCCAGCCCACGGGTGCATGGCGGGAGGTGGAATGTTGTACGTCTTGCTGTACAGCGCTATCCAGAATGGCATGCATGGTTGAAATACGCGCATGTCCACTAAACTATCCTTCAATTATTATGTTCTTTACACACATTGGATAACACATCACACTTGCCGGACGATATAAGGCATGCGTTTTGTGAGCAAGGGATACTCTTAGCTCTTACCCATTCCAACCATCAGTTGAGCTGCAACAAGAGAACAGGGCTGGTCAAAATAGGTCTGTACGCTTGCTGCAACATTACCAAATGAATGCCTTTCATCTCAAGATATTTCGTTCGAAGCAAGTTCACAATGATTCATCAAAACCGGCATAAAACAGAGGATGCTGATATATTTTAAGGGTTGATATTTGTTATGCTTTTTGAGCAGACCTACAGGTGTTCGTGCAAATAGCGTGCGATGTCATGTGCCGCATCATGAGCAGCGCTATGGTCACGTGGACTGACGCCTCGTGACCCCCCTGCCCTCGGTGCCGGTCCCCAGCTGCATCACTGCCGGCGTCAGAGCTCCACAGTCACGTGTCTACACCAGCCACGTGCCGGAAGCCATAGGACCCGCGCTGACGCCTCGCAGAGGTGGCAGGTCGCTGGCGACACGTGACCTCCGACCCTCTCAGGCATATAAACTTAGTTTTAGGGGAGCGCAGACTCCTTCCCGATAGTGTCGCGGCCTGCCCAGAGACGAGCCAGAAGCAAAATTCGATTTGGCGTCCATTAACTTCCACTGATGACTTCAGGGTAAGTTAATTATCGTAATGCTAATGAACTCTGTCTGTCGGTAGGGGTTCTCTCATCTGCCAATCGCGGCAAGCGATGGACATCGAACAGACCGAGACCGATTCCAGGTCAACTCAATCTGGGGCGAGGGGCACCCATAGAATTGTCTGATGCTTCGTTTAATATTGGTTTAACGCTATACATCGCATCGCTACATCGCACATCGCTAACGGACCCAACGCACAGGACATGAACTCGCGGAAGTGAGGATGCGAGCGAGATGTGCCGTTTCTCGACCGCCTTTGCCCCGTCCCCGCAATACTGGACGGTACAACACGACCGTCAGGTAATGACAGCTCCATGATCATGCCGGTGGCGAACGGCAACCTTGACGTCACTGGGAGGTCAGGGCGCGGACTATGACGTCATGGTGATCACCTACCGCTGGCCGGTTCCATGTAGTCAACGGTGTAGCCGTCCAGCTGCATCATCTCGGTCGGCTCCGACTTCTTCTCGCGGTACGTGCACATGGCAAACGTGTACTGTGACACCTGCACGAGCACGAAGTAGCGCCGCTTCCACTTCTTCCAGCACGTCTTCCCCAGACAGTACAGGTAGCTGTGCGGATGAGCAGTGCGTGGGTGACGGTCGAGCACTCCTTAGCGCACTGAAGGCGCTGTCGCCATCGCATGAGTGACAAGGTGCATTCCAACACGAGGATTCAAACGCAAAGATCGTTGTGCGAGACATTGTCATTCAGAATAAGAACGAGAGCGAAAACGAAAATGAGACCCTTGCCATTGAGAACAAGAACGAGACCCCTGCGTGCGGGAAGCTTGTGATTACCGTGCACCTCATTACTTATCACTTTGTTTTGTTCTTTAACACTTGATGGCGTAGCATTCTGTCACACGTTTACTCTCTTCGGACCAGCATCTAACATCAAGGCAAAGCGATGCCCGCGAGGGTGAAGTGGCGAGAGCGGGGTGTGAACAGCATAGGCTTGATGTTCGACTGGCGGCCGTAAGCCGGCAGTCGATGGTCGGGAGGGTTTTATAACTGGCATGCTGCTTAGAAACCGGATGACGGCGTCGACGTGATCATCACACCCCACGGCGCAGCGACCGAGATTACGAGCACCGTCAAGTGCTACAACTCGATTCAGCGCGGTGGAAAATCTCGTCCGCTGTTGCCCGCGGGCCACGCCCGGATAAACGTGTTTCAGATGTAAATTGCACGGAACAGCCTACGACAGCAGAATGTTCTGCATGAATCAGTTTTGGCGTCCAATTTGCCGAAACGTCATGCCGCCTTATCGTCGGGCGAACCGATCGAGCCATCACCTGGTATGATTGGATATCGGGGGACCGCAGTGTTCCGCCGACTCTGACGGTAAGCGCTGAACGGTCCCAGCGTCCCGGCGCCTGGTGGGGCTGTTCAGTCCCAGAGCGGAACGGGACCTCTGCGCGTTCTTATGTGCCGCGGAAAGGTTAGACCATCCAGTCAACGACGGGGCTGCAGGTGTTTTCCCAACACATTTTCAATACGGCTTCCGTTGAAAAGCACATCTCCGGGAAAGAGGGTGTATCTCTGTTGCTAGTGGTCAGCCGGTCTCGTGCTGAGCCTAGGTCAGACTCTGCACTGCTTAGCGTGCGATCGTCTGCGATTGCAACTAACGTAACATGTCACTGATGCGTTCAACACGGCAGTCTGCACACCTAGCCATCGCTCCGGCGGCAGGTCGTGAGGAAAATCGATGGCGTTTGATAGCGCCGATAAACCGATCAGGAGGCGGGTGGAACTCGTGGCCGCGAGGCCGACCGCCGGCGCCGCCGACCATGGGCGCCACCGCCGCTTCCTGCTCAGCTGGCCGCAACCAGCTGCCCGCCGCGGGCAGCTGGTTAAAGGGCAGTCAGTGGGCACTGAGGCGTGCAAGGGACTGCCGCCCCCGCTAGGTTGGCTGACATTTAAAAAGGCAATTGTCTCGGAAATGGAGGCCGGTCGGTCCGGGCGGTGGGCGGTGCGGATGATGAGTGTGCAGGCCCAAATACCACCGGCCGTCGTGGGCCGCGCCTTCCTTGGAGATGTGATCGATAGTGCGAGCAAAGCTATCACGGCCAGCGATGATCTGCTGTCGGGCGATTGTTTGAGCCCCGTTTGAGAGGGAGCCGATTCATGAGATCTGACAGTTGGGCAGTTTATCTCCAGAAACGGCGCTACCTCTGAAAGGATGTCTGAAAGCACACCCAGCGGTGGCAGGGACTTCCGGAGGGAAATGAGACGGGTAACTAGAGAAAGGAGCTGGGACCGAGAACTGAGGCGGACAACTGAGGTAACGAAGATTCAAGCAGAAAACTGAGGTAGGGACCTTAGGTAGATAACTGAAACAGGAAAAAAGAACCGTGAGCTGAGGCGGAGAACAAAGACAAAGAACTGAGGCAGGGAGAGAGCTGAGGCAGAGAAATGAGGTAGGGACCTTAGGCGGGGAACTGAAACAGGAAACAATAGATGGGAGCTGAGGCGCACAACTGATGCAGAGAGCTAAGGCAAGGAAAACTGGGGCGTGCAGAGAACTTAGGCGAGCAGCTGAAACGAGAAACAAGAATCGGGAGAGCTGAGGTGGAGAACTAAGGTAGAGAGAACTGAGGCGGAGAGCTGGGGCAGATAGCTGAAGAAGGGCACAGAGATAAGAACCTGACGCAAGGAGCTGGAAAGGAAAACTGGGGTAAGAATCGAAGGAAAGGAACTGAAGCAGGAAACTGAGGTAAGAAACAGGGACCTGAAGTGTAGACCTGGTAAAAGTACTGAGACAGATAACTAAAAAGGAGGCTGAGGTGAGAGGCTGAAGCAGCGATTAAGACAAGGGAATGATGAAATGAGCTGAAGAAGGGAGCTATGAAAGGCACTGAGGTGATGAAATGGACGATGGACCTGAAGCAGGGTCTTTAGGTGGTGCAAATCAAGAGGGCTGGGAAAGGGGCGCTAAGAAGGGGATACGTGGATGTTGAACGGGATGGGACGACAAAAAGCGGATGTTGAGTGACATAAATGGCATAACGCGGTGACGGAACCGTCCGATGGAGAAGTACTCACCCGCCATGCTTCATGTTCAACGGCTTGTCCATGCGGCAGGCGATCTTGATCTTGAGGTCTTGGTCCTGACCGTTCTTAGGTACGGTCATTTTGTGCCACTCTGGCATCTGGAACGCAGAGCACATCGTCGATGATGCCGGCCGCCGGACCAAGGGCAGATAGAGCCCTGATCGCCGGACCGAGGACAGACAGAGCTACAGCCGCCAGAACAAGGACAGACAGACCTACAGCCGCTGGACCAAGGGCAGGCAGACCTACAGCCGCCAGAACAAGGACAGACAGACCTACAGCAGCCGGACCAAGGGCAGGCAGCCTACAGCCACCGGACCAAGGGCAGGCAGACCTACAGCGCGCCAGAACAAGGACAGACGAAGCCACAGCCGTCGGATTAAGGGTGTACGGAGCCACAGCCGTCGGACCAAGATCAAGCACGGAATCCCGCTGCTCGGATCATGGCCAGCCAAAGCCGGCTCTCTGAACCGCGCGGCACAGCAATAAACGAAACAGGCGACGCGTCGCGCGAAAACGAGCTCACGGCGCCTATTTCATCAGGATGGTGTTCGTGCCAGTCATATGGTAACACATGTGAGGACTGATCATGCTGAGGACTGAGGTACAGAGCATGACTGGACTTTCCTGTACGTCGGTTCATGGTCCTGTGCCACTATCGACCGCCTCCGTATGGAAGAGTAGTGTCATGGGAGGCGCGCTGTACCAAATCACTGCCAGCACCGCTAACAGCTAGCGGAGGTTTCTTAGTCGTTATTGAATGCAGTCCATAATCATCACGATACGCAGATCAGCATAACCCTCAGTGCTTTAGAAAAAAAATATGGGGTGCGATGCTACATTCCGTTACATTCCACCGATAAATCTCT